CTATATTTATATATATATATATATATATATATATATATATATATAAGGCACACATTTTATATTTCTCAAGTAATTTTTACAGATATATCCTCCCATAGAAATCTTCCAAACGTATGTCTTTCGAGACTTTCGTGTTAGAAATGCTTTTCTGCGATATTTTAAACAAAAATTAAGTAATATTTGTTTCAAATCAGATTAATTAAACTTTAAATCAGCTAATCTTCCCCAGATAAAGTTTCAGAAAATAATATTTTGATTTGGAATTTTTTTTTTTAATAAAGTGTATTACGTTGTGCTGAGAGAAATGTAAATATGGCTAAAATCAGACACTTTTATCCTTTAAAAAAATTCATTCCAATCAATTTAAATTAGTTTTGAAATATAGCAAAGTATTTTGATTATTGTAAATATTTCATTTAATTTATTACCTTGAAATTAAAATTAAAATAAAAGCTTCATGAAATATTTTTCATTTTTAAAAATTCATTTTAAACCTTACTTATCACTCTTTTCTCTCTCTCTCTCTCTCTCTCTCTCTCTCTCTCTCTCTCTCTCTATGCACATATATATATGTGTATGTGTGTGTGCGTGTGTATGTGTGTGTATTTGTATGTGTGTATGTATACACTTTACATATATAATGTGTATACATACACACCCACACATCAGTATTTGAAATCAGTATTTAAAATCTAATTTTTTTTCCTGAGACTGCTAAATCTCGTGTCAGAGTGTAAATGTCTACCCCACGGAGCTGGCTCGCTTCGGCCCCCGCTTCATATTTTAAGCGTATAGCTAAAAATACATCTATCATCATTATTAGTTATCAATAAAGTGTAATAAGAAGTTTTTTTAGCTACTTTTTTATTGTTGTTGCTATAGTTTTGTTTCTACTGTAAATGTAATGCTTTTGCCATTTGACAATGTATCGAGGGTCCTTGACACCGAGTTGTGCTAACAGCTAAGCATAAAACTAATAGAAGGGACACAGCTGGTGTTTATTTGGTCTCAGTGATCGACGGCTTTCGATCAATATGACCGGTCGAAACTGAGAATTTTACTAACAGGCTCACACTGGGAAATCGAATGAAAAGTTGTTTTGTTTTTTTTATTCTCTGCTTGCTGCATGCAGCTGTTTTACGAAATTGTCTTATTGTTTCTTCGCTTAGTAAAGAAGCGGCTGCTTTTGTTCTGCTGTGTATTAGGCTGTTTTGCTTTATAATCCATGGGAAGGCTAACAGTATATAATAGGTGACAGAAACCTATTATTATATACCGTACCTATGAACATTAATGGTTATATCCCAATCCTCATAAATACGTTGGACACTATTGTAAGTGGTAGTAATATGCTTAGTAGTCCACCACTAGAAGTGGTTTACCTACTTCACGACGCTGGCGAGTATTGTATTTTGTTGATGTTATAAAAATTACCATTTCAATTCCAACCTCCGTTTTGGTTATTCCTCATTCAGTAACCTTTTTCTAGGTTACAATGCCTACAGAAACAACGGTTCAATTATTTGCTTTTCACGACTAAAGATTCGTTCTGCTTAACTTTGGAATTTTTTAAAAACAGACTTAAAGTTAATTATCTAATAAATATGTTTATCTTTTTTTTTTTAATGTATCAGTCTCGTTTAATAATATTGACTACGCATTTTGCATAATTTTAGCTGTTCCTTTTTCAAATATTTGAAAGCTATCAAGAGTAAACGTTTATAATCATTCTCGCATTGATTTCAAAATTCGTAGAATGATCATCAGTCTTCTCAGAATACTAGACAACGCTGAGGAAGATGGCGAGCAAAGTAGCCGAAACGTTTTCATCGAAACATCGGGAAGAAAAGTACTATTTGAAACATTGAAGGAATAGTAACGACATTTCTCAGCACTTGCAACGATATGAACACTAGAGAGTGCACATGCTAAGGCGTTTAGATAAAAAAAAAAAAAAAAACGAGAATGAAGATACCAGTTTGAAAGAATATATATTATGATAATGATATCCATTCTGATTATTCAAACAAAACAAAGAAGGCTGGGGAGTGCAACGGCTGAAGCGTTTGGATCGAAAAAACGAGAATGAAGATACCAGTTTGAAAAAATGTATTGAATGATAATGATATCCATTCTGATTATTCAAACAAGACAAAGAAGACTGGGGATTGCATCGGCTGAAGCGTTCGGATCGAAACAAGGAGAATGAAGATACCAGTTTGAAAAACATACTGAATGATAATGATATCCATTCTGATTATTCAAACAACACTAAGAAGGCCGGAGAGTGCACCGGCTGAAGCGTTTGCATCGAAACAACGAGAATGAAGTTACTAGTTTGAAAAATTTTCTGAATGACAATGATACACACTTTGGTTATTCAAACAATATAAAGAAAGCTGAGTTGTGTTTCTGGCTAAAATGTTTGGATTAAAACAACAGCAATGAAGATACTAGTTCTAATAATTAATTGAATAAATCCTTCTTTTAAAAAAAAAATTGCAACTCAGTGACACTCACTTTGTGGATAAGTATTTAACATCTAAACGAGCCATGAATTTATCTGTCATATTTACCTCCCTAATTTTTTCGATTACGTTGCCTTAACTGTTAATGTGCAAAGAACTAACTGTTCCAAGAGATGGTATTCATTTTTCCCTATTTTAGAATAGCGAAAGCCAAAGTAAATGTTTGACATCATTTCTTGGAACAATTAGTTTTAGACACAGGGCCGTTGCTTACTACCCCGAACTCTCTCAACCATAAGTCCCAAGCCTGATTTGAGATCCAGGACATGGCATCGTGACCCTTGCTATCTTATCGACATTTCCTTTTTTTCTGTCTACATTAACTCCCCATTTGAAAATACTTATAATTTATTTACTAATTCTAACGTTTACAAGAAATGGAAATGAGAGGAAAGTGTTTAGTATGAGGTTTTATTTAAAATTGGATATGGGCGCCAAATTTCGCTACCAGCTTCTCGACCCCCTCCCCAACTTCTTCTATTCGCCTTTGAAATTCTTCTAAATTCTTGGGGTTTGGTGTAGTAGAATTACTCCTTTAACCAACCCCAAAGAAAAAGGTTACTGTATGTTAAGCCAGGACATCTGGCTGGCTGCTCATATATAAAATAGGCAGATACTTTTCAATCACCATGTATATTTATATCTATATAAATCATTGTTGATTTACTTAAGATGGAATGATTTATCGTGACATAGCTGTAATTGGTTTTTAGATACATTGTATTTAATTTCAATTATTCGAGTTGAATTGTTCACCAACATTGCATATGATCCATTGTTGTACATAATTAGGTTACAATAACATTTGTATTTTATATGATTACTACCATATGAAAATTGAGGTGTAGTAGAGATGGCGACCCGGTATCATAGATTGGAGGTGGCATGAGACCCTTGCACCGGCCATGCTTTCAATGTTTTAAAATTTGGGCAACGTGATCGCAAATCTCCGTTAAAACACAGAGAAAACAAATTAAATCGGAAGTTTGATATTCTTCTAGTGTTCTTCGAGTGATTTTCTTCCAGCATTAAGGCTTTTTGTATTTTAGTTATTGTACTTTTCAAAATTTCTATTTGACACGCGATTGTTACGGCTAAATTTCTATAACTGGTTCCCGACAGTTGTTTACTTACTAACAAGAAATTCAAACCAAGGTGGAATATTTTATTTTATATATAAAGAGCAGTTATCTAGGAGTGACTAACAAATACTGTTTTGTGTGTTTACTGTCATAACATATTGGAAATAGAATATATCAGCTGTTACGTCAGTATTCACTAAAGGTTTCTCTCTTTCTCGTAGCTAGACTAAATTGAAATGAATGACAAGTGGAAATAACGCAGGAAAGTTATGAACCGCATCTGCGTGTACGGGGTGGGGTAAATAACATTTCTGTCGTGACCAGAAATTGAACACTAACCAACAATTTTACTTTTAAACTGACCCCCTACATGTTAATCTGTATTTATCAACTCTTTAATTTCTTAAAAACATGTAGAAAAGAAGGCAACCCTTTCTTTAATTGATATACATCGTTGTAACATTTTGTTATCTGATCACTCGTAGCATAAGGCCTCTTGGTAAGGTCTCTGTAATCGAAATGTTTTCCTAGGTAGGATGATTGGCCCCACATCTAACCTATATACAAGAAGCGACTGAAAAGTTCATAAGCTGACCAGGATATAGTTGTTAGTAGACGCACTAGTTGGTAGACTAAAACCTGTCTGCTAGCTATTGTATCCTAGTACAAAAATCGTTACAGTAGGTTGAAATTTCTTTCTGCGGTAGACCAGTTGCCATCCAAGGCAATAGAACCCGGTCTGTCCTGTTATTTATCCATAGCTGGGGGGTGCGGAATGGTTCATACTTTTCCCAAGGGTATTAGCACGTAAGTGAATGTAATGGAATCAACTGGAATTCGAACTCGGTTCTCCGATTCCTCAATTTGAGAAGTGTTCTAAATAGATTGCCACTGCAATGTCCTGCTGTTCCACTTAACATTTTTTTTATTTTTCTTGCAAATTACCATTCGAAAACAAATGCGTGATTAGAAAAGAAGCGATAAGAAAAATAAATGTATCAGAGAAAATAGATTTCAGAAATAAATCCCTGTTGATAACATGAACAGTTTAAATGATTAGTTTTCTTTAATTATCATATACCTTCCGAACATGGGCAATAATGTTTCTCCATATATTACCTTTTCTTTAAAATCTGTAAATTTCTATGACTTCTTGATAAAAAAATAGTGGATTTGTTTCCCGTTGTCTTTTCAACGATATTTGAATTAAGAGTTATCACCAAAGCTAGAAACCTCAGTCTACCGTGCCATTTAAGTAGAAAGAGAAGAAATAGATACATGCTTTTTCCAACCGTATTAGTGTGAAAGTGAATGCAAAAGACTAGGACTGAACTTGAACTCAGCAGGCTGGTTCTATTTTCTGTACTATCAACTATTTGGAATTTGAAAATTATAACATGTAAAGAAAGAAAGAAAAATGAGAAGAAAAGGGGAAAACAAGAAAGAAGGAAAAAAGAAAGAAAGGAAAATACTCAAAAAGAAATATAGAAAATGTGAAAACTGAAAAGAAAGAAAGAAAGAAAGAAGAGATAAATAAAGAAAGAAAGAAAGAAAGAAAGAAAGAAGAGATAGATAAAGAAAGAAAGAAAGAAAGAAGAGATAGAGAAAGAAAGAAAGAAAGAAAGAAAGAAGAGATAGATAAAGAAAGAAAGAAAGAAAGAAGAGATAGATAAAGAAAGAAAGAAAGAAAGAAGAGATAGAGAAAGAAAGAAAGAAAGAAAGAAAGAAGAGATAGATAAAGAAAGAAAGAAAGAAAGAAAGAAAGAAAGAGAGATAAAGAAAGAAAGAAAGAAAGAAAGAAAGAAGAGATAGAGAGAGAAAGAAAGAAAGAAAGAAAGAAAGAAAGAAAGAAAGAAGAGATAGATAAAAAAGAAAGAAAGAAGAGATAGATAAAAAAGAAAGAAAGAAAGGATAGATAAAAAAGAAAGAAAGAAAGAAGAGATAGATAAAAAAGAAGAAGAAAGAACGACAAGCAAAGAAAGAACGAAAATAAAATTACAGAACCTGATGGAAAATATTTTTATTTCTTCTTCTCATATATTTTTATATCATCCATTATGACCAATTCTTCTTGTGTTTAATTTTACTGAATGTCGCCACCCTTTTAATTTTTTTCGTCCCTTTTTGTTATACGAAACGACTAACTAAATTACACGGATCATTAAAGAGAAATCTGACCGATTGTTTACAGATCACTTATATTTGTAAAGCTGATATCGACACCATAGCCTTTTATGACGTCACAGCCAGATCCCTGACGTCACAACCGAGATAAATGACGGAGGCAGTCCACCCTCAACGGCGCCTTCACCAGAATCGGGTCATGTGCTGCGGTGTCCACTGTGCTTGACAAAACGCGCGTTTCAACAGGACTTATCTAATCCGTGCACCACGATAAATACATAAGAGCCAGGAAAAACGATAAACACCGAATGAGTTACAGTACTTATTAAGTGTTTTGGACTATTCATTACTGTCAGTTTGTAACTGTTGATCTGAAACTTTAATGATGTTGTCTCGGCTGGACTCTGTGTTCTACTCGGAGACGTCGAAAATTATATGCTATCAAGTAATTTAAGCAGGGACAAACACCTGGAAGAAATCGTAGCCTCTAGACTAGGCAAAAGTTCTTGATAATCAAGGATATTTTTTTAAATAGTAATTTCTTTTTCATTGTCGATTGTGATTTTTATGGCGACAATGTAGGCCACATATTACATCGGTTATGTTCTTCTAAGGGTTTGATGCGATCAAATTAGACCAAATTTCTATCTATAAAAGTAAGGATGTGTGTGTGTGTGTGTGTGTGTGTGTGTGTGTGTGTGTGTGTGTGTGTGTGTGTGTGTGTGTGTGTGTGTGTGTGTGTGTGTGTGTGTGTAACGAATGCACGGCCGCTATTTTCGACGGATTTGCACCAAAATTTACATGCACATGCTCCAAGTTAGTGGAAAGGCCAAGACAGACTTTGCATTTCCCAATTCCCATCGATAGTGGAAATAATCGATTTGTTCATGCTTCTACGGCAGTTTTCATATATTTTGCGGCCATTTTATACTGGCCATAGTGAGAGCCTATAGCTGGCAGCCACGAATAGGTAGGATGATTCTATTGGCCAGCGTGAGAGCCAACAGTTGACTGACACGAATGTTAACTAGCATGCTAGCATGCAAAAAAAATCGATAGCTGCATTCGTCACAAGTGGGAAAAATTTAAATCTGCATGGCACTTTACTCCAATTGGCTCATTCGCTTGCTTAAAATCAACGTTGATTCTGATTCCGCAGAACTGGGTTGGGTGTGAAAAAGTATTTGTTGTTAACATTCTTTTTTCATTCGGTTTTTCCAGTTAGGAGTCCTATTTTAAAGCTGATCGTTTTGTGTTCATTTTGTTTAGTCCTTTTACGTAACAGATTTAATGTTTAGTATAGAGGTTAGAAAAAAATCGCAGTGTGAGATAGGCAAGGAGTAAGGCATGTAGCAACATCAGCACGGCAAAGGGCACTCCTTTAAAGGCAAGGAAGGTCAAAAATATTTTAAGTCAAGTGATAGCGATTGCTGTATGAGTCGTACGATTTTTGAATCAAGCACCGGCAACGCCGAGCCATGCTGCTAATATGAATATAATTCCTGAACAGAAGTAAACACATAAACCTAGTTCCTGAATATCTCTGTTCTTTACCCCATTGCATTAAACAGTCTATGAAGTAATGCCCGCAGAAATATACTCTTTGAATTAGGCAATATCTGTTCATCCCCAGAGACAATTCATAACTAGGCACTAACGAAGAGAATGTCTTCGTGTTCTTTATATGCCATGTCCCCTCTTTGTAGCTCTTAATAAACGTTGTCTTTTTGTTATTTCTCCTTAACCTTGCTCCACTATCTATTTACTCTAGCTCATTCTCGAGTTATGTATTGTTTTCCTCTGCCCCTTTTGCCTTCGATCTGCCCTGTGAATGCCGCATTTTCCAAGCCCTCTTTCCGCATTATGCACCTCGGAAATTTCAACTGTTTCTTTCCGATGTTAAACTTAAGTTTCCTTTTTGTTTCCATATTCTCTAAAACCTCATTTTTTTTATCCTTGGTATACTCAGCATCGTTTGGTAGAACCACATTTCTGTTGCTTAAAGTTTCTTGTTCATCTTTGAGGAGATTGCCCCGCAATCACTACCATAGCACTACTTAAGAAGTCAATTACAAATTAATGTGAACTCCGTCAGATGATCAGCCTAATGAGCCATATAACAAAACTTATCATCCGAATTCTGATAAACACAGTGGTCAGCAGAATCAGACTGGAAATTGGACAAGAATAGTGCGGGTTCGTCAAAGACATTGGAACAAGGAACGCAATATTAATGCTCAGAATGTTATCAGAAAGATCAAATCAAATGGAAAAAGACGCGTACATGTGTTTTGTAAATTACGCAAATGCGTTCGATATAGTGCGTCGCAAATTTTTGTTGGAACTGCTCAGCAACCTTGACATATTTGGGAAGGATATTAGAAAAAAGAACCTATACTGGCAGCAAACCCGCCTGCATAGAAAATGAGTTCAATAGGTATACAAAAATAGAAAGCAGGTGTAAGACTAAGATGTGTCGTCACACCGGGCTTTTTCAACCTATACAATGAAGCGATTCTGAGCGATTTAGAAGTCCTACCTGAATTCATTATTGGCGGTTACAATCTTAACAACATAAGATATGCAGATGGCACAGCTTTGATAGCAGACACGGAAAGAAAATTACAAAAATTCGCATAGAAGGTAGTGAAGGAAAGCGCGAAGAAAGGACTGAACATCAATTTCAAGAAGACAAAATGTATGGTTGTCAGCAAAAGAATGAGCTCCAAATGCAAATTACAAATCAGAGATACTAAAATCAAACAAGTACAATAACTTAAATATCTGGGAAATGTTTTAACACAGAACGAAAAGTGTTACACTGAAATCTGCAGATGCATTGGGATAGACAACGATGCCTTCCAAAAGCCAAGCAATGTATTCAGAAGAGAATGCCACTTGTTTAATATTACCATCAAATGCGGCACATTTCATTCTACATTGTGCCTCCTACATTTTAAATTTGGAAGATATCTCTGCCGCAACCTGTATAACACAATGAAATAAAAAATGTGATCGTTTCAATCATTCTCCGAAAATTCTTAGTATACCATTGACTGAGCATACGAGTAAGGTGGAAGATTTAAGGAAAACAGGAACTACAAAGACACCTGCTTACCATCAGAACGAGACAACGGAAAGTCATATGGATACATAATGTGGAAAGAAGGCCTGGAGAACCTAACACTCACAGGACATATTGAAAGCAAGAGAAGCAAGGGGACACAACGAGTAACCTACTTAATGTGTTTGGGTTTATGGATCGTAGAATACGGACATAGAGGAACGGTAAATGGCTAAATGTTACTTAGAGCAACAGTACTAAAACTGTAGATATTTTTATACATGAATAGCAAAATATGAATGAGTTTAAGGATAGTTGTTAGAATAATCCTTGAAATGGTATTTATATTGTTCGTGCATTGCGAAATTCACAAGTTCCTATTTCACAAGTTCTTACTAGGATTTATTATGAGCGGACATAATTTTAACAACGTAAGATACATGAATGCCAAGACTCAGAATGGAAATTGATTTTTTTCCAATTATGTTCACCCGGTACAAGGGCCAGGAGCCACCCGAGGTTACAGAATATAATACACAGTTTATGCAGATATGTGAAGAAGATAACTGTTAAACCTAGACATGAATAGGATCTTAGTTATCAGAGAAACATTCTCTTGGGGGTTTATTCCACAGAGCAGAGGTTCGTAGAAAGAAGCTACTCGAGTGGAACCTACATCTCCTTAAAGGAATGCTCAGTGGCTGAGCAGGTTGAATTCAAACGGAATCAGATTTGAACAGGTTAAGATTGTAGCGATCAAGAAAACATTCTCTTGGGAGTTGGTACCACAGCAGGAAGAAACTGCTTGGGTGGAACTTATTTTTCACCAATAGAATATGAAAGTAATGAGGGTGGTTCGATAAAATGTGCATAACATGGTGAGATTTAGCCGTGAAGGTTAAAACTGATGGAATGAAGCTGAGTATTTTCCATAGAAATAGCAATAGTAAGAGGCTTGTGGTGCTTCATCTGTAAGAAAGAGGCTGTAGGGTAAAAAAATAATTTGTCACCCACAAGGACACAGAGACATTTTGGGACTTTATCGAGACTGGAAAGTGAAGACTAGACAGCTCCTGTCCCTATATGGTAGCAATACTCCATTTTCAGCCTGACCTGGCTCTTGTAAATGTAGAGGATAGCATGATGAGTCAGGTACTTACTGGAGTGATACAATGTGCATAACATGTTTTAGTCATGAAGGTTAGAACTAGTGAAACTAAGGAATGTAGTTCATCTGAACACTTTCCATGGAAATAGCTAAAGAGCAGTGACAGGCTTGTGATTTTTCTTCTGTGGGAGAGAAGTTGTAGCTTCTCCTACTTCTTCTTTATATATTGTATCCCCTCAGGACATAAGCAATCATGGCTCTCCACAACTTCCTGTTCTTTCTAGCTCTTAATAAATTTTGTCTTTCTGCTATTTCTTCTGAATCCTGTTCCCTCATCCATTCACTCAAGCTCACTATGTTATGTCTTGTTTTCCTTTGTCTCTCTTGCTTTCAATCTATTTTGTGGGTATCAGATTTACAGTGTGGTAATAAAATAAGCGCATGCCATTTACCCCCTAGGTTTTAACAACCCATCACCAATAAAATACAAAAGGAAGGAGAGTGGCTCGCTACAATGTGCATAGTATGGTGAATCTTAACCATGTAAGTTAAAACTGTTGGAACTAAAGTATGGTATTCAGCTAAGCACTTTCCATAGAAATAGCAAGCAGTGAGAGGCTTGCGACGTTAGGTCTGTGAGAAAGGGTAAAAAAATAATTTGTCATCCACAAGGTCGCGGAGACGCTTTGGAACTCTGTCGACACTGGAAAGTAAAGACTGTGCAGTTCCTGCCCATATATGATAGCAATACTCCATTTTCGGCCTGACCTGACTCTTGTAAATGTTGAGGATATCGGGATGATCCAGATACTTACTGTAATGATACAGTGAACCGATCATGTTTCCAGCCTCTTTAACGATGCGTCGCATGCTCGAGTTTCACTTGAGGTCTGGGTTGAGGGAACATCCATTCATCGTGCTTGTTGACCGTCCTGCGCCCGATCGGCGAAAAAGAAATTAAGAAATCGAGAAGAAAAAAAAAACAGGTATTAACTGTCAACAGACAACTTAAAATGTGAACTGATAGAAAGCGATTGGTTTCGACAGATTTAAACGAAAGGTGGGGGACAGCCTCGAGCCTGGTTCGCTGAACGGGGCTAGCCTTGATTTTCTTTTTAGGTCTCCTTAAGTCACATCGGGGTTGTTTTCTGTGGCGTTAACCCCTGGTTACTCTTTTTGTGTACCAAGTTAATGTAATTGTCATTCTTGGCCTGTTCTCGGTTGCTTCTTTGATTATGATCCAAGTGAAGATTCTTAACCTCGCCAGTTTGTTTTTGTCCCCACTTTTTTCATCTCGACTGGGTCAGCTTTTTTTCTTTCCCCATGGACGTATTTATTTTATACTTCCCTCTCCCTTAGCGAGAGAGCCTCTTGATTTTGTCTAAAATTAATTCTTCTGAAGGTTTGACAGGTCCAACTAACATCAGTTATACTTTTATTTTGTGTATTTGTTTTGATATTTTACTTTGTTTTGGGTTCATTCCCTCCCCCATCATTACGTATCATCGACAGATTTATATATATATATAATTTTATACTTTTATGTCATGGGATGTTTTTGTAAGTCCCCTTAGAGTATGTGGTATTGTGGTATATGGAAGATTGTATGATGATGGTCCTTTTGGTGGATGTGCAATCTATAATGAGTGAATGGGTCGTGAATCTGATTATCTAGGTATAAGATAGTAAGTGATGACCAGCCTCAACCCATCCCCCCGATTTTGGGGCCTTGTGCCACAATTGTATTTTATATACATAAATCTTGACAACGTAAGATGTGAACTACGGATTGAGACGTTAAAATCAATTAAGTACTGAAATTTAACAATCTGAGTTTACCCAAATTGTGAAATTGTAAGAACAGATGACAGAAAAATGGCACTGATATATTAAAACGCATAAGAATATAGAAAGATGTTATTTTCCCGAAACAAGTAAAATATTAAGACATGAGAAAATGTCTTGAAATCAAAGAAAGGTGTGTTGTTCTGCCGTGTAATATTTAAATGAATATATAGGAGTGATTGCTGTCCAAACTCTTAGCAGATGGAGAAGCTACAGAGATGTGGTTCTAACGTTGAATACTGAGAATAGCATATAGAGAATATGCGAGCAATGAACAGGTTTTTAGGAAAATAGAAATCACACGGACACTTATACTTACAATCGGGAAGAGACAAAAGGGTCATAGGGTAACAGTGTATAATCAAGCTAACGAATTTGTGCGAAAGAATAGCAGAACAAGGGCAACGAATGTCGGTAAAGAGATAAACGTTGCTTAAAACACCAAAAGACAGAAAACTGTGGAGCCATGATTGTCCACATCATAAAGGGACACGGTATAGAAATCATGACCCCCCCGGTAAATAATGAAATGATAAAGTCTTTTTTTAAATCTCGCTTGTAAATCTGCAGATCAAAAACTAGACACTGAACGAATGCATCGGGAAAACCTCGCCTTAGCTTTTAGCAGATTCCTCTTATTTGAATTTCTTCAAACCTTTTTATCATGTCAAATAGAAATTTATGCGTTTGTGTGCCCAGAGCCCGTGGAATGTTAATTCATGACGGCAGTTGTTTAGGATGACAAAAATGTTAAATAAATATTTAGACAGTATTTGTATGCGTGCTTTTGTGTGTGAGAGAGAGACAGACAGACAGACAGACAAACAGTGAGAAAGAGAGAGAAGACTAGCTTTATTGTAGGTATAAAGGCGCATTATTACTATTGTTATTGTTGTTCGGCAGTAAATGCTTGCACAACGAAGAAAAAATGCTCATCTACTTTTATTCTCTGTAGTCTTTAGCAGAAGAATGCAAAAAATAATTCATCAGGTTCATCCATGTTAAAGTGGTCCACCATTTGCAAATAGCATAAACACACGGTAAATATAGCATCATATCACAATAAAAGAAAAGAACTTTGTTAAAAAGTGAAAGGAATCTAGTTGATTGATTCATTTTTTACGGTTTATCAAACCTTTGCAGGTTATTTAAAGCCAGAAAGTTTTTGTAGAGTATAAGAATTTTTTTCTTGTTTTTTTTTTCCTCAGAACTGTTAGGTTATAGGACAAACTCCCGAGAGAATGCTTACCCGAAGTCCAGGGACAAACGATTTATATCCTACTCGTCCTCATAACACTCTCTTACTTCCTCAAAGCAATCTCACTCAGTAACCATCTAAATTGAGTGATCCTTGGGCCTTGTATTTTACTAACAGTAAAAAAGTAATCCTTTCGGTGGGAAAGACTGACAAATGATGACTGAAAAAATAGAAGCTGACGACGGAACAACAAGCATTAGCTCTAAATACAAATGAACATCAATTGGTTACAAAAAAATAAAAATAGATGGATAAGCAAGTAGTTAAGTTAAATAAAAATGAAAACTTTTTACATAAAAAATATCGGACTAAATTTATTGTTTTTACTGCTTATAAACTTTTTACAGGTTATTTAAAGCCAGAAAATATTTTTAGAGTGTTAGAATTTTTTTGAGATAATAATGGTTTAGTGATACAAGTCTTACTAATTAACCCATAGACTGGGGAAGAAGAGATGGATTCATTGCTTTCCCAAAGGTATTTGCGCGTAAGTGAATATAATAAATCCGTCGAGAATTGTAACTCGGTTCTCCAGTTAACAATTGTGAGCCATTATCTATTAAAGCACCAAGGAATCTAGTGATATGCAAGTAAATAATTTGTGAGACTTCATTAGTGCATATTATCAGCTATTGATTATATTCTGTTACGATTTTGAT